GCAGTCTTTGCAGTCGACGTGCTGCTCTGTCTTGAGCTTTTATTTATTTATTTATTTTTGCATATTTGGAGGAAGAAACAGTGTCACAAGTATGATTTGTTTTCCAGCTTCCATAGTGATTCAGAAGTGGTGGTGCCACATGAACCCTTGTTTGGAAGGAGAGGATTGCAAAGTGTTGCCGGATTACTCAGGCTGGGCCTGCAGCAGTGGCAATAAAGTCAAAACTACGAAGGCAAGTACAGACCAAACACGACTGTAGTTTACAACTTGTTAACTACGGGGTCCCCCCTGCCCTGGATTTTATGTTGCCATCGACAGAACATTATCATGTTTCCCTGAAAATAAGACAGGGTCTTATGTTTATTTTTCCTCAAAAGACACCCTAGGCTTATTTTCAGGATGCGTATTATTATTTTTTTTAAGTACAGCACCAACCATCTACATTTGATTTCAAATAGAGTGAAATGTCTTCTTCTGGACATGATCCCACTCTCCAAACCCTCGAATTCCATCCTGAATGTCTTGCGCTCTGTTTCCTTTAGACCGACTGGCCCGAGCTCTTCTGTCGTGCCATAGAGCTCTCATGGGGCAGATGGAGGAAGGCTGGGTGTCTTTCCCGATCCTCCACAATGCATGGGTTGTGAGATTGGCTGCGTAGGCCACACCATCATGGGTTTTCAAGGCCGCCATCACTAGGGTTATTTTCTAGCCACGCCCATGCACTAGGGCTTATTTTTTCATGCCATGCCCATCATAGGGCTATATTTTCAATAGCACGTCATCCTAGGGTTTTATTTCATAGCACGTCCATCACTAGTGTTTTTTTCATAGCATTGCCCAATCACTAGGGTTATTTTTCTTTAGCACGGCCATCACTAGGGTTATTTTCTTAGCACGCCACTCACTGGGTTTATTTCATAGACAGTCCATCACTAGGGCTTATTTTTCATAAGCCACGCCACCACTAGGGCTTATTTTCATAGCCGCCACACTGTGGCTTTATTTATCAATAGCACGTCCATCACTAGGGTTTATTCTTCATAAGCAGCCCCACGTAGGGCTTATTTTCATAGCCACGCAGGATAGGGCTATTTTCATGCCACGCCATCACTAGGGTTATTTTCAAGCCACGCATCCTAGGGCTTTTTTATAGCTGGCCATCACGCAGGGCTTATTATTAAGCAAGCCCAACACTAGGGTGATTTTCATGCCAGCCATCACTAGGGCTTATTTATGCCACGCCATAACCAAGGCTGATTTTCATAGCCATGCCCAGCACTAAGGATTATTTTCATTTTAGCCACGCCACACCAGGGGCAATATCATAGCCAAGCCCAGCACTAGGGCTTATTTTTCATAGGCACGCCATCACTAGGGCTGATTATTTATAGCACGCCAGCATAGGGTTATTTTCATAGCATGCCAATACTAGGGCTTATTTTAATAGCCAAGCACATTCACTAGGCTATTTTCTAGCAACGCCCATCACTAGGGTTATTTTCATAGCACGCCCTCCACTAGGGCTTATTTTTTTCTTAGCACGCCATTCACTAGGGGCTATCATTTTCTTAGCCAACGCCATAACTGGGCTTATATTATCTTAGCAACGCAGGCATAGGCTTTATTTTAATAGCCACGCCATTTCAGGGTTATTTTTCATAGCCAACACCATCATAGGCTTATTTTCAATAGGCACGCCCAATCATAGGGTTATTTTCTTTAGCCACGCCATCGACTAGGTTATTTTCTTAGCACTGCCGAGCCTAGGGCTTAATTTTCATAGCCACGCCATCTCAGGGCTTTTTTCATAGCCACGCCAGACTAGGCTAGATTATTCATCAGCCCACTAGCTTATTTTTCATAGCACGGCACCATAGTTGCCTTGACGCAGAGTTATGTTTGGAGATCTTATTCAAGGCCTTGCAAGTAATGGCTTCTCCCAGGTGCCCCTTTCTGGTTCTCTCTTCCTCTGAACAGTGGCCTGTCTACCGGCTCTTGCGGGAAACGGGACTTCTTCTTCACTTATCTTCCTCATGGTTTAGGGGATCACCTTTCCTGAGGGATTTTTTTACTTGCCGTCTTGCAATACTTGGCTCAAGCTCTGTCATCCAACCCGTTCTCCTGGCTTGCCTGGTTGGCGTGCTCCCAGCGCGGTGCCCACAGCAGTGGTCTGTAGTGACTCTCTGTGAAATGTCGTCTTCCAGCCAGCCCGCCTGAGCTTCGCGTGGCCCCTGGGCTGCTTGGTCCACGACGGACTGTGCCCGTGGAGGCCTCGTGGATCACCTTTGGGCAAGACCACTCCTCCGCCGGCCCCCTTTACGTTCTGCCCAACACCTGGCTTCTGTTTATCCTTTTTTTTTTTTTTTTTTTTTTTTGAGACAGATCTCTTTTGTTGTCCAGGCTAGAGTGAGTGCCGTGGCATCAGCCTCGCTCAAGAACTCCAACTCCTGGGTCGAGTGATCTCCTGCTCAGCCTCCCGAAGTAGCTGACTAAGGCATTGCGGCACCTGCCGGGCTAATTTTTTTATACTTTTTCATGGTTGGCATTATTTCTTTCTAGTTTATAGTGAGACGGGTCTCGTCTGCTCAGTCTAATTTAGACTCTAACTTGAGCAGTTCCTGCATGCTCCCACAGTGCTAGGATTACAGGATGTGAGCCACTATGCCTGGAAGTTTCTATTTTAGAATATGCTTTTTAGGTAGGTAAAACCTCCCGATATCCTGGAAAAACATTACATATTGAATCAAAATTTTGTTATTTATTAGTTATGAATTTATATTTAATAAATGTTAATGTAAAAGCATAACTGAAATTATATTGACAATATAGGTTTTTAAATTGATTTGGATTTTAGATTATCTCCCTCAAACAAGGGTTCATGTGGCACCACCACTTCTGAATCACTATGGAAGCTGGAAAACAAATCATACTTGTGACACTGTTTCTTCCTCCAAATATGCAAAAATAAATAAATAAATAAAAGCTCAAGACAGAGCAGCACGTCGACTGCAAAGACTGCTAATAAAAGAACGATTTTACCATAAGTAAATTTAAGGAGTCCAATCAGCAGTCTCCTCTACATCATAAAGTATTTAATACTTCTCTGCAGTTGGCTGTCTGAGCGTCATGCAGCTAAGAGAGCGAGCTTGGGTTTTGCAGAGGGCCTGTCTGGGTTTGAATGGAGCTGTGCTACTTTCTAGATTTTTGAATGACTTGGGACTTACCTTCTCTTAGCCTCAGTTTCTTGATCTGGAAAACAGAGATAAAAAAAAAAAAAAATAGATCCTCTCCCCGAGATGCCAAGAGGATAAAGCTAGTCTGTAGGAAAGTCGTCTTTTCTGACTTTGATGCCAGTCGCGATGTTCTCGGAAAACGTTGGCTGCTATTATGATCATTGTACTATGGTGGATGTTTACACGTCTGTGTTCTTACGTGTGGTGCTCTTTGTTAACAGCCGATATCAAGTTTGTTTCTTGGTTCTCTATTCTGTTCCATCATGTGTCCATGTTTATGCCAGTATGATAATGTTTTGATTACTGTAGCTTCGGTTATAGAACATATAATTCATAATATAATTTGAATCAGGGTGTGATGCCTCTGGCTTTATTCTTTTTTTTTTTTTTCTCAAAATTGCTTTGGCTATTTGGAGTCTTTGGTGGTTCCATACAAATTTTAGTACTATTTTTCTACTTATTTCTGTGAAAAAGGGTCACTGGGAATTTTGACAGGGATTCTATCTATAGATTACTTTGGGTAGTAATGACATTTTTAACAATATAGTTCTGCTCGTCCGAGAACACCGGATATTTTTCCGTTGATTTGTGTCTTCTTTCATGGATACTTTGTTGTTATGGAAATGCAACTGATTTTAGGTGTTGATTTTGCAGCCTGCATCTTTACTGAATTTATTAGTACCAAACGTTTAAAGAGGAATTACTGCTCACCCTTCTCAAATTCTTGCAGAAAATTGAAGAGGTGGGGAGAACACTTATAGACTCATTTTACAAAGCTAGCATTACCTTTGTTGGTATGTAGCATTACCTACATACCAACGCCAGTAAAGACACTACAAGAAAAGAAAATTATAGGCCAATAATTGTGACGAACATAGATGTAAACATCCTCATCAAAACAACAGCAAAGCAAACTGAATAGTACATTTTTACAAATCATCCATCACAATCAAGTGAGATTTCTCCTTGGGATCTAAGAATGTCTCAGCATACACCAACTAATACCCTTTCCACTTAGAACTGGGGCAAGGCTGCCCACTCTCTCCACTTCTATTCAACATAGTGCTGGAATGTTGCTATAGCAACAGCAATAGCAATGCTTGCTATAGCAATAAGACAAGATTAAGGGTGTCCAAATGGGGGGAAGAAGAGATCAAATTCTCACTCTTTGCAATCACAATCACAATCCAATGATACGCCATATCAACAGAACGAAGGATAAAAATCATATGATCACCTCAAAGCATTTGGCAAAATTCAACATCTTCTCATGATAATAACTCTCAGCTAAGTAGGTGTAGAAGGAATGTAACCTTCACATAGTAAAGTAAAATGACAAGCCCACATCTAACCTATTGAACAGTGAAAAGCTGAAAGTTTTTCCCATAAGATCAAGAACAAGATAAGGATGCTCACTCTCACCACCACTTTCCAACCTGCTACC